CCATCTCCATTTGGTAGGTGGAAATGGTCTGAATGATATGTAGAAAGGCAACGAGGGGGAATACAGTGCTGTGACGTAGTGGGTAGAGCCGCCACCTGTGACGCTGGCATCCCATGTGGGCGCTGGTTCGTGTCCTGGCTGCTCCACTTCCGATACAGCTCCCTGCTCATGGCCTGGGAAAAGCAGCGGAAGATGGCCCAAGTGTTTGAGCTGCTGCTACCCTCATGGGAGATCTGGATGAAGCTCCTGATTCTGGTTTGGTCCAGCACTGGCCATTGTGGCCTTCTGGGGGGAGTGAACCAATAGATGGAAGATCTTTCTCCCTCTCTCTCTGTAACTCTGACTTTCAAAATAAAAAAATAGGCATCAGATGTCTCAGCCCTGGCCTGGCCTCCATCTCACTGAAACCATACTTGATGAGGGTTATCAGACAATCAGTGATTTGCATGTGTGGGTGGCACGGATCAGAATGTGGGAGATACACTTCTGATGAGCCAGGCCCTGTCCCTGTCCTGGTTCAGAATCCCTGGGATTGAGAAATGTTAAGAATAAGCTGGTGTTGGTCATGTGAATCAAGTGGAGGAAGAAAAAAAGGACCAGGGAATGGTTCAGCTTCAGAATTCTGTAGGAACCAGGGAGTTGTTTGCTGCCCCCAGATGCTAGGCTAATGCTGAGACAGCCCTTGGTAACCCAGGGTGTCATGCTTCTTTCTGTGACATCGACCTTGAACCCTCCCTCTTGCATACTGAACTCTTAAGCCCAGAGGGGCAGCAGCATCAGCCCAGCAGTGAGCACCAGCTGGCCTCTGCCTTTGGGAGCCAGCGCAAGGCAAGCTTGGCCAGGGCTTGCTGGAGGACCACCTGGCCCTGAGCCCCACCTTGGCGGAGCTTGATGGGGCTGCTCTGGGCAGCAGCAGGTCTGCCTGGGCTGCTGCTCACAGGAGAGAATTATTGTAAATAACAACCGCAGATAGCACTTACTGGGCTTTCATAAGGACCCCGGAGCCGTCTTGGTATTTCGCGTGCATTGCATCACGGAGTCCTCACAGCTTCCCTGGAGGGGGTAGATTCTGTTTTTACCACCATATCCCCTGGGGAAATCGAGATGGAGGGAGCGTAAGTACCCTGCGTGGTCATTCAGTGAGCAGGTCAGACCTCAGGGCTCAAATCCAGGAAGCGGGTGCCTGGAGCCCCTGGCCCAGTGCATCATTCCACTAAGGCTTAAATAATGAGAGGCTTTAGAGAGGAAGACACCCAGAAGGGGGCGCTCCTGAGGCCAGGGACGGGTGGTCGTGGCTGTGACTTAGCTTGCCAGGTGTTTCTTTTTTTTTTTTTTTTTTTTTAAGATTTTATTTATTTATTTGAGAAATAGAGTCACAGACAGAGAGAGGGAGAGACAGAGAGAGATCTTCCATCCTCTGGTACACTTCCCAAATGGCCGGAACCAGGAGCTGAAGCCAGGAGCCAGGAACTTGTTCCGGGTCACCCCTGTGGGTGCAGGGGCTCAAGCACTTGGACCATCTTCTGCTGCTTTTCCCAGGCGCCTTAGCAGGGAGCTGGATTGGAAGTGGAGCAGCCGGGACTTGAACTGGCACCCATATGAGATGCAAGTGTGCAGGCAGAGCCTTAACCCGCTATGCCACAGCGCCGGCCCCCAAAGCATTTCTGAGCCTTGGTTTCCTCGTGTGTTGAATCAGGACAGCACTTCATTCCCAGAGCGGTGTGACTGAGACGTGGGTCGTGCACAGTGCTAGGAGGGTGGGGAGGCGGGGTGCAGCCGGACTGCCCCCGGTGGCAGGTGGTGAGCATGGCCTCGCTGTGGGGCTGGACAGTGGTGGGCACGGGTAACAGGTGAGTGGGAAATAAAAGCTGGCTGGGAAACGGGAGGCCGGGTCACTGAGGATCTTGAAAGCCACCATAAAATGCTCTGCAGCTCTTCAAAGGGACAGGTGTGTGGCCTGTGTTGACACATGGAAATGGTGCTTAGAAAAAAAAAACAGAATGCAAAGTAGTATGTACAAGCCGACAGCTGTGTAAACACAGCCTGGTCCTCCAAACACAGCCTGGTCCGCCAAGCCTGGAGATGAGGAGGGCATCGGAGGTGCCGAGGTGTCCCGGCTCACCTCTGGCAGCTGTGTCTTCGTCCGTGCCCTGTGATAACTAAGAGTACACAGGTCGGGCTGGGGGCGTGGCTTGGACCCCTTGCATCCCCATGGGAGTCCTCACAGAGGCTTCTGGTTTTTGTTCTTTTTTTATTTTCATATATATATTTCTAAAGGTTTATTTATTTGAGAGGCAGAGAGAGAGAAAGAGAGAGAGAGAGAGAGAGAGAGAGAGAAAGAGAGAGAGAGAGAGAGAGAGACAAAGAGAGGTCTTCCATCTGCTGGTTCACTCCCCAGTTGGCCACAAGGGCCGGAGGTAGGCCGATCTAGAGCCAGGAGCCGGGAGCTTCTTCTGGGTTTCCCATGCAGGTGCAGGGGCCCAAGGACTCAGGGCATCTTCCACTGCTTTCCCAGGCCATAGCAGAGAGCTGGATCGGAAGAGGAGCAGCCAGGACTAGAACCGGCGCCCATATGGGATGCCTGGCGTCACACGCAGCAGCTTTTCCCGTCACGCCACTATGTTGGCCCCATGCTTTGTTCTTAATTGACATATAATTCCTATCACACTGATCTCACTATTCATGGTCTCTGTAGATTTGCTGGAGGCTAAAATTTGCTTGTAATCCCAGGATCAATACTTGCATTTGTGGATGTGCACAGGGCAATGAAAATTTTGAGATGCCCAATACCCAGATTCCCAGCTGAGAGCAAACAAGAGGACCCTTGTGTCAGCTGTCACAACATAAAGAAGCATCCTTCCTGTCCAGGGCCATGTTTTCTCTTATTTCTTTGCTTTTTGTTGGTGCCTTCACTAAGGGGTGGGCGTTTGACATATTTATTGGTTAAGATGCAGTCTCCCGGCCGGCGCCGCGGCTCACTGAGGCCTGTGGCGCCGGTACACCAGGTTCTAGTCCCAGTCGGGGCGCCGGATTCTGTCCCGGTTGCTCCTCTTCCAGTCCAGCTCTCTGCTGTGGCCCGGGAAGGCAGTGGAGGATGGCCCAAGTGCTTGGGCCCTGCACCCGCATGGGAGACCAGGAGGAAGCACCTGGCTCCTGGCTTCAGATCGGCGCAGTGCACCGGCTGTAGCGGCCATTTGGGGGGTGAACCAACAGAAGGCAGACCTTTCTCTCTTCTGTCTCTCTCTCTCTCACTGCCTAACTCTGCCTGTCAAAAAAAAAAAAAAAAAAAAGCAGTCTCCCTAGGTGCACGTTGGCAGGAAGCTGGATTGGAAGTAGAGTAGCTGGGACTTGAACCAGGCACTCTGATATGGAATGTGAGGTGTCCCAAGTGGCATCTTAACTTTTTGAAGACCTTCATATGCATGGATTTCAAAAAAAATTTAGGGGTGGGGAGCTGATGCTGTGGTGTAGCAGGTAAAGCCGCCTGTGGCACTGGCATCCCATGTGGGTGCCAGTTTGTGTCCCAGCTGCTCTCTGTCTCTCCCTCCCTCTCTCTGTAGCTCTGCCTTTCAAATAAGTAATCTTTAAAAAACTGCACCAAAATAAACATGTTTTAATTCCATTTTCCATGAACTTTTGAAGTCCCCTTGCATATTTTTTCAAAAGACTTATTTATTCGAAAGTCGGAGTTACACAGAGAGAAGGAGAGGCCGAGAGAGAGAGAGAGAGAGAGAGAGGTCTTCCATCCACTGGTTCACTCCCCAGTTGGCTGCAATGGCCGGAGCTGCACTAATCTGAAGCCAGGAGCCAGGTCTTCCTATGTGGGTGCAGGGGCCCAAGGACTTGCGCCATCTTCTACTGCTTTCCCAGGCCATAGCAGAGAGCTGAATTGGAAGTGGAGCAGTCGGGACTCGAACAGGCATCCATATGGGATGCTGACACTACAGGCGGTGGTTTTACCTGCAACACAACAGCACTGGCCCCACATATTTGTATATTAAATAAGGTGTCTTGGGCCAGCGCCGCGGCTCACTAGGCTAATCCTCCGCCTTGCGGCGCCGGCACACGGGGTTCTAGTCCCGGTCGGGGCACTGGATTCTGTCCCGGTTGCCCCTCTTCCAGGCCAGCTCTCTGCTGTGGCCAGGGAGTGCAGTGGAGGATGTCCCAAGTGCTTGGGCCCTGCACCCCATGGGAGACCAGGATAAGTACCTGGCTCCTGCCATCGGATCAGCGTGGTGCGCTGGCTGCGGCGGCCATTGGAGGGTAAACCAATGGCAAAGGAAGACCATTCTCTCTCTGTCTCTCTCTCTCTCTCTCACTGTCCACTCTGCCTGTCAGAAAAAAAAAAAATAATAATAATAAGGTGTCTTAAACAGAAACACCTGGGAAACAAGATCATGTGTCATTCAGTTGACAAACAGAGGTTTGCAGGAATGGAATTGTCTATTTCCCCAGGAACAATGATTCAGTATCAGCTAGTACACTCTCCACTGCAACTTTATAGAACGCAGCTATCACAAATAACAAGAACTGGCTGGACCATACGATTCGCTTTTTCAGACCCACCTTCTTGGCAGGCATTTGACTCAGTGGTTAAGATGCCTGCCTCCCATATCAGAGCTCCTGGGCTGGACTCTGAGAAGCCGGCCCCTGACTCCAGCTTCCTACTGACCAGACTCTGGGAGGCAGTGGTGATGGCTCGAGTGGCTGGGTTCCTGCCACTCGTGTGGGACACCTGGATTGAATTCCCATCTGTTGCAGCCTGGAGAGTGAGCCAGTGGATAGGAGCTCTCTTTCTGTCTCGGCCTCACAGATAAATTTAAAAATGCTTTAAATCCCCTCGTTACTATTTGTGTACCCACAAGGTTGTGCAGACATCACTGTTGCTATAGATTTCCCAGCAGTAAGATGGCCTCACAGGGCAGTGATGAGAGACGTATGAGACGTATGATCTGTCTGTGTCTCCTTGCTCCCTGATCTCCCTCTCTGGTCCCTTTCAGAATGCCCAGGAGAACCATGGGCTGGCCGTGCCCACCCCCTCTGTCCCAGAAGACTTTGCAGACAAGGCCGTGACAGGTAAGGGGCCCCTGGGCTTCAGGTTTATTTCTTTGTTTCTTCCTTGAAGCCTGAATTCCAAAGCCGAGCATCTGACCCACCTCCCCAGCTGGTGACACAGCACAGTCCTCGGGCCTCTTGGCTCCTGGCTGCAGTGGGGCTGGAGCTGAAAAGAGCCAGGCCGGCCAAGGCCCCCTTAGCAGGGGAGGACGTGAAAAGTGCAGGCCAGTGGGAACCGGGGCAGCAGTGGTGACGTGGTAAAAAGAACTCTGGAATCGGGGAACCCGGAGCTCCTCAACTGTGAGTGTTGCCCCCTGGGGCAGGACACACAGCCCTCACTTCTCGATACCTTCCCATGAGCTAAGGGAACCACAGTGCCAGGTCTGGAGGAATAGATGAGGTATTGGATGGGATGTAGGTCCTCTCGTGTCCCACCTGTGTTCAAAACCACCAACCTCCCACACCGCGTAAAGAAATGGCTTTACTAGACCTGCCGCAGTCTGGCCTTGTCTGGCGGCTGCACCTGCTGTCTCCTCGTGCTCGCCGCCCCTGCTCCAGTCTCCTGAAGGGTCCAGGGCACATCTGCACCTCGGGGTTTCTGCATGCAATTCCCTCTGCCTAGACTGCTCTCTCTGTGTGTCTCCCCTCACCCCTCCCTCTCGCTGCTTCTCCCCTGCAGCCCTCCCCATCCCAGTCGCTGCCGCCTTGGCTGCACTCTCTCTGTGCCCTAGCAGCCAGTGTAAGCTCCAGGTCCGTCCGCCTGCCCTTTCCCTCTGGGCCCCGGCTTTGAATTCTGTGCCTGACCCCTGGGCACTCGGGGAATGCTGGTTTCCCCCTCTGCTCCTGGTGTCTTGGTTTTGAAGTCGGACAGCGGAGCAGCCATCGGGAGCTGCATGTTCCCCAGGTTCGCCGTGCCCTGGAGGAACTGAGAGGAAGGGGACAAGAGACAGGTGCCACGAAGAGGGACGCCGAGCTGGGGCCTGGGCCCAAGGAGAAGGCAGGCGTATGCGTGGTGGAGGCGGGGGCGCTCAGTATCCCTTTAGCCTGAGCTCATCCTGGCGGCCTTCCTTCTGCACTCCTGTTACACCCTGAGGTGCAGAATCTGCTCCAGGAGCTCTCCCGGCCATGGAAGGCTGGGTTCTTGGTGGCCCCGAGGTCTCAAGAGAGCAGGAGCTGCCTGTGCAAACCACTCCCTCCTCTGGGTTCTTCACTCAACCCCTCCTCACTGAGGAGGTCCCCAAGCCTCTGCCCCTCTCTGTCCTGCTTTCCCTGTGCATCTTACACGGTCTGAGAAGTCGAGCTCAGGTGCTAGCACTCCAAGTGGTCACCATTTACAAAGTGCCTACTGTGTACCCGGCAGCACCAGGAGCCTGTTGCGTGCACCCGTGGGAACTTACTTAGTACACACGGCCTCAGGCGTGAGTGGGCCAGTCACTCTCATGGGCCACCCTGCAGCCCAGCCCTGGTGTGTGTAGAGAGAGACCAGCAAGGCTGCTCAGCCTCGTGCCCTCAGTCAGCTCTGCCTCTCTTCTTCCAGGCACCGGCACACTCGTCAATGGCAATCTGCGACTGTACAGCTCTGTGGGGGACCTCCGGCCTGGACACTATGGCCAGGACCCGCTCATCCCCCCACCACCCCCGGGCCCAGCCCCGCGGCCACCCCAGGACATTTCACCACCTGCTGCGGAGTCCCCGCCACCCCCTCCACCTTCCTTGGCTCCTCCCCCACCTCCCCTGCTGCTGGAACCCCCACCCCCACCCAGCACAGCCCCACCTCCGCCCCCCATAGCCGGGGCCCTATCCCCCCCATCCACCCTTTCCTCCCCTTCGACACCCACCCCTCCTGACTTCATCCCCCCTGCCCCGCCCTTGGCCTTCTCAGCCCCGCCCCCACCCCCCATGCCAGCCCCCGCACCCCCTGCACCAGTGTCCCCTCACACAACGGGGACCCGTCTCTTTCCAGCTGGGGGCGTCACCAAGTGGAAATCGGAGGTGGCACTGAATGGCAGGCAGCCAGAGGCTCCCAGAACCAGCCCCCCCAGGAGCCCTGCTGAGCTAAAGGGGGGCCCCCTGCCACCTAACCCAGAGCCCCACCTCACCTTCCCCCGTGCATTCAAGGTGCCCCCTCCAACCCCAGCCAGGACTTCATCCATCCCAGTTCAGGAAGCACAAGGGACTCCCCCAGAGGAAGAGGGGACCACCAAGAAGACTCCCAACCGACTCTCACTGCCTCCCACCTTCCACATCCGCCCCGCATCCCAGGTCTACCCCGAGAGGGCCCCTGAGCCAGACCACCCTGGAGAGCTCAAGGCAGGGGCACCTGACAGCCCAAGGCTCTGCCAGTCCCAGACCAATGAACAAGCCCCCGCCCCGCCCCCTCCTGCACCCCCCCTCCCTCCACCTGCTCCCCCCCTCCCCCCCGCGGCCCCACCCTTGCCTTCTGCTGAGAAGGCAGCCCCTCCACCTGCTGGGTTTACAAAAAGCCCTAAATCCAGCTCTCCTGCTCTCAAGCCCAAGCCCAGACCCAAATCCCCCAGCCCAGAAGACACGGCCTCTTCAGCTCCCGTGGACTGGTGGGACCCCAGCCAGATGGAAAAGCTGCGGAGTGAGCTGGCCGCCTATCTCTGTGGCTCCAGGAGAGAAGACCGCCCGCCGCTGGGTCCCAAGCCGGGCCCAACCGCGTCCTCCCAGGGCAAGGAGGGCAAGAGGGGCCCCAACCTGCCAGAGACCCAGGAAATCGCCCGCGGTGCTCCTGGGACAAGTTCTCGCAGCGAGGGTGCCAGCCTGGCCCTACCCCCGGTGGACTACATCCCCCAGGACCCCCCAGCTCCCAGCGTCCAGCAGATCCGGAACGAGCTGGAGGCCCGGCTTGCCTTGGCAGCAGAGAAGGAAGCCAAGCCCAGCGTAGCCTCTGCACCTCCCAAAGGGGGAAGAATCTTTGAAAACGGGGCTAATGGCAAGTTCCCCAAGCCTGTGTCCACCTCCCCTCTGCCAGCCACACCACTCCAGTCCAAGGTCACACCTGGACCAGCCACAGCACCCAAGGCCACACTTGGACCACCCAAAGCCTCATCTGGAGCAGCCTCACCAACCAAGGCCACGCCTGGACCAGCCACAGCACCCAAGGCCACACCTGGACCACCCAAAGCCTCATCTGGAGCAGCCTCACCAACCAAGGCCACGCCTGGACCAGCCACACTAACCAAGGCCACGCCTGAACCAGGTACAATACCCAAGGCTACACCTGGACCAGCTACACCACCCAAGACCACACCTGGACCAGCCACACCACCCAAGGCCACACCTGGACCAGCCACACTAACCAAGGCCACACCTGGAATAGCCACACCACCCAAGACCATACCTGGACCAGCCACACCACCCAAGGCCATACCTGGAGCAGCCACACCAGTCAAGGCCACACCTGGAGCAGCCACACCACCCAAGGCCACGCCTGGACCAGCCACACCACCTAAATCATCACCTGGACCGGCCACCCCAGTCAAAGCCACACCTGGACCAGCCAGTGCCACAACTCAGCCCACTATGTCGTCCCAACTGATGGTGGAGAAGAACCTCGTTCCAGAAGGCCAGAGGGAGAAGTCAGAATCTCGAGAGGATGCTGTGCCCTCCCAGCCAAGGGCACAAGGGTCACCCTCAGGAGCCAGTAGGCTGCCCACCCGGGAAGCCCTCCCATCTCCCACCCTCCCACCAAAGACCTCCCCTGGCCGGGAAGAAGTGCCTTTTGTCTATAAGCCCCATGGTGGCGGGCACGGCCCCAGCAGAGAGGTTGCCGTGGTGATGCCCACCCTGGCCGGAGGAGAGGCTGCCGGGCTGGGGGACCCTGTCGGGGTGAAGGAGCCCCAGGGCCTGCCCGCTGACCAGCTCCTCAGACACCCGGTGACGGGGGAGGTGGTGGAGCGAGGCTCCCCCATGGCCCTGCTCCTGGCAGCCCGGCAGAGGGCGCAGAAGGGGAGGCTGGGCGGGGCCACCGTGGGGCGGTCCTCGCTGCCCGGGAGTCTCCACGGCCACAGCAGCCCGCCGGAGGCCAGCTCCGACAGCATTTTTTACAGCGAGGGCCGCCCCAACTCCTTCACTGTGGTCCCCAAGTCAGCCAAGGAGGTTGAGAGGGACTCTGCGCCCAGCTTATCGGCCGGGCCCTCGGTTCCCAGCCAGTGGACGCCCCAGCCCCGCAGAGACCCGGAGGGCACAGAGCCCATCCATCGGCACAAATGGACCAAGGCCGAGCCCCAGGCCCCTGTGGCCTGGGAACGGCCAGCTCCCCCCAACCTGCGCCAGGGCCGCCTGCTGCCCAAGTCCTTCTCGTCGCCACCGTCCCCTTCCTTCAAGAGGGAGGAGGAGGAGGAGGAGGAGTTCAACTATGAGGTCATCCCACCACCCCCGGAGTTCAGCAACGACCCCGAGCCCCCCGCCGTGCCCCTCCAGCAGCCCGGCCACAGGGGCTCCCCTCCCCGGAAGGACTTCTCAAACTTGGGGCGGCCCCTGGGCGCGGGCCCCGCGGCGGCTCCAGCTCCCAGCTTCTCGCGCTTCCCCAGGGCTGCGCCCTACTCCGATGCTGCGGGACCCCAGCGCTTCTCGGGTGCCGGCCGCTCGCTCATCAAGAAGCGCCTGTACGTCGGGGAGCCCCTGCGCCCCTCCGCGCTGCCCCGCAGCGGCCCCGGCCGCAGCCTGAGCACCCCCAACTGCTTTGGACCGCAGCCAGGAGCCCCCTTCGCTGCGTCCACAGGCCCCGAGATGCGTCGGGTCAACTCGGCCGGCCGCGCGCCACCCGGCGGCCTGCACACACCCAGGCCGGCCCCGGAGGGTGCCCCCCGCGGCATCGCAGAGGCCAGGCCCAGGGGCGGCAGCGGCGGTGGCAGCAGCGGCGACTACGGCTTTGCTCCAGCCGCAGGCAGGTGAGCTGGGGCTGGACTTGGGGAGGGGGGCCGGGGGGGGGTCTATGGAAGCACCGCCCTGGGACCACAGAGGATCTGACCAGGGCTTTCGTGAGCAGACTTCTGCAGTGCCAAGCTTGGTCTTTTCCTCCTGTGATCTGGGTGGGGGTGGTTGGTGAACTGGCTGCAGATGTTAACCTCACCTCTCCCTTGCTCCTCCCCCAGGTCTCCCCGCAGCACCCCCCACTATGGAAGCCCCATCAACACATTCACCGTGCGTCCAGGAACTCGACACCCCATCTCCTATGCCTACACAGGGGCCCACCGGAAAGCGGCATCCTGAACCCAGGGTTGTCTCAGCTCTCCCCCGAGGGGTGGGACCTGGGCGCCTGTGCTTGTTGGGGGGATGGGATGGATGCGGCAGGTGTGGGGCACAGAGGGGGCTGTGACCGGGGACCCACGGTGAGTGAGAAGCCGCAGGGAAGCTGCAGAGTGGTGTTTGCCGAACCACTGGTGGCTGTGGGCTGTTACATGTGGGGGGTGGGAAGGGGCTGCAGGGAGGAGAGGGGGACTTTGAAGGCCCTGGGCTCTGGCTCTCTCCAGCGCTGTCTGTTTTAGCAAGACTTATTTAAAGCAGTTTGACAAGCACAGCCTTATGAGCAGATTCTAAAAGCAAGGGTCCCGGCCCTCGCTGTGAATCGGAAGCCAGGGGGATGGCTGTCAATGCCTGTCAGGCCCTCACGGGGGCCCAGGCCCAGCCCTGTCCAGCAGGCGCTACAGGTGGCTCTGTAGCCTCCACTCGTTGCCACCCCAAGAGGTGACCCCTGGGATCCCCGGCCACACTGAAGCGGGACCAGGGGTATGCATGCCCAACTTGTGGGGAAGGTTCTGGAACAGAAGCCCTTGGCGTTGGCCAGGAGCAGGGGTGGGCAGATTGATGGTTTGTTTCTCCCTGGCTATGAGGGAGGAGACCTGGCAAGTTTGAGAAGGGACAGAGGACTGGGGCTTGCAGACCCTTGCAACACTGACGTGGGGGACGGGGCCCAGGGAGCTGTGTGGTCAGAGGCCTTACATGGCCGGCTCTTGTGGAATTTGGAGGAGACTGCAAGTGCCCAGTATTATTGAGGCCTTCACACGTGTAGCTGGGATGCTGGGAGAGTGGGAGGCAACAGAGATGAGAACAGCTGTCCGAGAGGAGTTTGCTGCAGGAGAGGTTGAGTTTTGGAAAGTCACAAGTGGCAGGGCTAGGCCAGCTCCGAGCAGACGAGGCCCATCAGGAGGGTGGCCCAGGATTTGCTTGTTTTCCAGGGAACTAGACCCCATTCCATGTTTCAAAAAGGGTCCTGGTTTGAATGATACGTGGTTGCTAAGCATAGCAGGGGGCAGCATTTCTTGGTCTGGTGGCCTGTGTTTCAGTCGTGCCCCAGCACAGCACAGGCCCTAGAGATATGTTGTGTGTCCACTGTTTTATAAAAGAGTTCACTAATTTATCTGCTCTGTTAAGGCTTAAGGGCTGGGGCGTGGGGAGGGCAGAGGAGGGCTGGGTCTCACTTGCTTTGGGAAATAAACAGGCCGGTTTGGACTGGCCTCCTGTGCTGAGCCTGTGGATTCACTGTGGTGTGATGAGATGCTGGGGGAGCCAAGCCAGGGATGGCCATGCGCGGGGTGCCGGCGGACCTGGTGAGCCGGGTGTGGGGCGTTGCTGGAGGGCGGGGGGCAGGAGGGACTGGCTGTGACAGGGTGGCCTCTCACAGGGGTGGCGTGTATGCTGATTTAGCTGAAGCACCCGGCACACGCCTGGCACTCTGTAGTTGCTCGACAAATGGCCTCTTTGGGTGGTGACTGCCTCGTACATGGTGTCTTTCCTACCTGCCGTGTGTGCGTGCCCCTCACGGCTGCTGTTCCCACCCACTGAGAACTCAAGTCATCCCCAGGTGGCACCACGGTTAGGTTAACCCCTCCAGGTCCCTGTCGGGGGCTTGACGCCTCACGGAGTTGCAAGTGGGGCTTCCAGGAAGGGCCTCCCAGGCCCCGCCCATCTTGGGGAGCTTCTGTTTCCCTCTCAGTGCCCTGCCCTGCCCTCTCTCCTCGTGATGGCCTTATCCTGGGAACATGGAGTGGGGACAGTGGCTGGGACTCCCCGCAGGGCTTGGAGCTCTGCAGATTGTTTCTCTCGCTGTCCCCTGCTCCCTTTCCCTTTGCTGGGCCCGGGGCAGGGGAGAGGGGCAGCAGGGAGCCATGGAGTTGAACCCAGGCCAGGGGAGGCAGGATGAGGCCCCGCGCTCTGGCTGTGCCTCTGACAAGCTGCGTGAGCCAGCTCATCTGAGGGCTTGTGCTGGGTCCCCGAGCTCCACAAGGAGCTGATGAGAGAGAGATGCCCACGCACGTGTGCACTTGCTCCCATTATCTGGGAGCGCTCCAGGCCCTCAGCACTTGGACTTGGTGGACATCGCGATGCAAACTCCTGGCATGACAGCTGGGAAAGCTCCTCCGTTCTCAGGTTTACTCACAAGCGCCATCTGCAGTGTGTAAGCTGCATCACCATCCTCGTTCCATTTCGTGAATGAAGGCTCCAGGGAGAGGAGCTGCTCCAAGGGGCCCGCCCACCTGAGCAGAAGCTGCCCACTTCATCACGGCCGCCTCCCTGCCAGCTGGGTCCACTCTCACCATGTGTCCTCTCCCACTCACAACCCTCACCCCAGAACAAACCTCTGCATCTGTCACAGTTGGGTAGAGTCACATCACTGGATGGGACGGATGCTCCCAGGTCAACTTGGCCACACCTTAGTTCTTGAAGCTCCTGGCTGCTCTCTGGGTGTGGCCCAGTCCAGGGGCCAGAACCTCACCTCTCCAGCGAGGCCCAGCCTGAAAGCAGCAGCTGGTGGGGCCAGCATTGTAGCACAGCAGGTTAAGCCACTGCTTGCACATTCCATATTGGAGCACCGGTTCAAGTCCCGGCTGCTCCGCTTCCAATCCAGCTCCCTGCTAATGCGCCTGGGAAAGCAGCGGAAGATGGTCTAAGTGCTTGGGCCCCTGCACCCATGTGGGAGTTGTTCCAGGCTAATGGGCCAGCCTCAGGCATTGTGGCCATGTGGGGAGTAAACCAGCAGATGAAAGATTCTCTGTTCTCCCTCCCACTCTGTCACACTGCCTTTCAAAGAAATTAAATAAATCTAAAACAAAAAATTACAACATAAAAGCCAGCGGCTAGGGCAGCTTCCAGACAAGGATGCACCGGGAGCTGGGGGCCTAGCCTTAGGGCCACGCTCGCTGCAGAAGCAGGGCTTCCTTCCACCTTGGGGAGCGCCTCTGTCCCTCTGCCAAGATGGGGGGGGCATGGGGGGGCTTCCATTGGTGTGTTTGTTTTTACGACGCTGCAAACACCTGGGGAGGGGCAGGTGTTTGGCACAGCAGTTAGGGCGCTGCTTGGAACCCCGCGTCCCATGAATGCTGGCCCTGTTCCAGCTTCAAGATTCCCGTCAACCTGTGCCCTGGGAGGCAGAAGATGATGGCTCAAGTACTCGTGTCCTCACCACCTACATGGGAGACCCAGGCTGAGTCCGGCCTCCTGGTTTTTGGATTAGCCCAGCCCTGGCTGTTGCGGCCATGTGGGGAGTAAACCAGTGAAAGGACCTCTCTCTCTGTCTCTCTGCCTTTAAAAAAAAATTAAAGACAAAAAATAGCAAACAGCACTTGGGGAAAGGTGTATTACTGACCCCGACACACACACTATGCTGTTACCTTTGGGTGATCTCTCTTGGCCATTTAAAGTGGTCCTTGAGAGTCACTGTAACCTGATTTCTCCATTCAGAGGGGGTGAGAAGGCATCGGCGTAGTTTGCCCTGGTGTCCAACACTGCAGTCCCAGCTGTGTGTGCACGATGAGCTGGTGATGGCCAGCAGGTGGCACTCTGCTCACAGAAGCCTGAACTCAAACCAGGTGGGTGCAGTTCAGGTTCCCACTCAGGTTCAGCGAGGTTGGCATGGCTTTTTCTAGGATCCCAGCACAGAGCTAAGTGTGGTCTGATCCAGCAGTAATTCTTAAAGCTGAGCGTGCATCAGAAGCACTGGAGGACTTGGGAAAACACAAGTACCCAGGGGCAGCATTTGGACCTCCACATCCCATATCCGAGGGCCCGTGCTGCTACTCAGCTCCTGCTCTTGACAGCTTCCTGCTAGTGCGGGCCCTGGGAGGCGGGGGTGATGCCTCAATTGGCAGAGTCCCTACCACCCACGTGGGAGACTTGGATTGAGTTTCCGGCTCCTGGCTCTGGCCCAGCATCTGAGAAGTGAACCAGCAAATGAGAGCACATTCTCTCATTCTCTCTGCCTCTCAAATAATAAAAAGTATTTAAAAAGAGCAAGTTCCCAGAGCTGCTGATCCAATGGGCTTGGCATGGGGCTGGGGAATTCATTTTTACATAATTCAATTACTGTGAGACACAGAGAGACAGCACACTCCCGTTGGCTGGTTCACGCCCCAGATGTCTGTAATGGCCAGAGTTAGACCACGCCAAAGTCAGGAGCTGGGAACTCCGTTCAGGTCTCCCAGACAGGTGGCAGGCCCCTAACTACTTGAACCACCACTTGCTGCCTCCCAGGGTCTGCACCTCCAGGAAGCTGGAATCAAGAGTGGACCCAGGGGGCTGGCGCTGTGGCTTAGCGGGAAAAACCACCACCTGCGGCACTGCCATCACATAGGGGCTCCCGTTCAGGTCCCAGTTGTGCCACTTCCCTAGCTCCCTGCTAATGCGCCTGGGAAAGCAGCAGAAGATGGCCCAAGTGCTTGGGTCCTTGAACCCAAGTGGGAGACCTGGAAGAAGCTCCTGGTTCTTGGCTTTGGCCAGGCCCAGATCCAGCCATTGCAGCCATTTGGGGAGTAAACCAGTGGATGGAAGATCTCTCTCTCTCTCTCTCTCAAATACACAAATAAATCTTTTTTAAAAAAGAGTGGAACCAGGACTCAAACCTAGGCACTCCTATATGGGAATCAGACATCCCAAGTAGCATCTTAACCATGAGGCCAAATCCTGACGCCTAGGAATTCACAGTTCTAACAAGCTCCCAGGTGAGGAACCAGCCCTGATGGTACAGGACCCGCACCGTGAGGGCCACTGCTGTGCAATGTCCCAGATAACCACTCCAGCTCCCCCTGGGCAGTCAGTATTGCTCCCGGCTTACCAGTAGAGAAATTAAGTCTCAAGTGACCTTGCCAAGGCCACACAGCGGGCCACACCCTCTGCCTCCAGGGCAGTGCGGCTGGGGCAGGTGGACCAGCAGCTCTCCAAATTCCTGCTCCAGGATAAGAAGATAGCAGGCTCAGGATAAGCAGGGTACAGGGCCACTGTTAGGCTGGGAGCAATCCTTTGGGTGTCCACAGCGCTGTAAAGACAAATTCCCTTCCCTCTAAGTCCTTCCTTAGGCACAGCCACGATATTGGCTAGTGAGTGGATCCTGTGCTGGTGCCCTGAACCCCCTTTCTTCTCAGGACTGAAGCTCCCACTCCCCCAGCGGCTGGCCATGCTAGGCTTCTCCGCAGACTCCCTCCCTGGGGACTGTCCTTCCGCAAGGGCCACCTCGTCCAAGGTCAGGCCCAGTCCCCAGGGGCAGCCCATACACACTGGCCAGTCCTCCTCCACTCAGGACGACTCTGAAGTGTCACTGCAGTCAAGGGCTCCCCCCTGTGGCAGGCGCAGGTAGCCCAGCTTGGCCCTCCCCTTCCTGCACGGGTGTGCGTGCTGCCGGCACTGCCAGCGGACGTTCCACACACGAGTGTCACTCTCCCAGGGAGTCTGCACCAGCCTGTCAGGCCCGGGCCTCGTCCTAAGCACTCGGCGCGTGTTACTACTCCATGGAATCCTCCCAACAAGCCCTGCGGGTTGGCATTTTTTGCTACCGGAAGGCTGTGTCACTCGCCCACAGTCACAGAGCAAGGAAGAGGCAGAGCCAGGACTCCTGTGCAGGCAGTCGGACTCGGGCTCTCAAGTGTTGTGCAACACTGCCTTCCAGAGCATTCCTGCGGTCTAGGCTTGGAGAAATGCAGTGGAGGACACAGAGAAGGTAGCTTTGGATTTGAGAGCAGGGAGTCCCTGCTGGCCCCAGTTCTCCTCCAGCAGCCTGGACACGAAGCCCCGGTGTCTCGGGTCAGCTCTGGGGTTCTCATCCATGCCAGTCTTGTGCCCCAGAGGACATGTGGCAGTGTCTGGCACACTTTCTCTGTGTGTGTTGACACACCCAGGGGGATCCTGAGGGCATTCAGGAGGTGAAGGCTGGGAACACTGCTGGATGTCCCACAGAGCACAGGGCGGCTGCCCACAGCACACCCAGCCCCAACGGTGAGGGCCCCCGGAATCCAGCCGAAAGCCTGGACTCCTGGCAGCTTATCCCGGGAGGGGTCCCAGTGGGACAGCTCTGGCCAAGGTGGCCAGAGACACAGGTGCCTGGGGTGGAGAGAGGGCTTGGAGGGTGAAGTTCCTACTTCATTTTTAAAATTTTTTAAAAATTTTTTTATTTTTTGCCAGGCAGAATTAGACAGTGAGAGAGACAGAGAGAGAGTTATAGACAGAGACAGAGAGAAAGGTCTTTCTTCCATTGGTTCAC